ATTTTTTGCATTACGGCACTGCATTACTTTAACTTACAATTGCGTGGTCATGCAATGCTGCATCCAAATGAAATTTATGTCCTTTTTTCCCGCACAAAATAAACTTTCTTTTGGTGGTATTTGATTGCCTGTGCATTTTTTACTTTTTGTGCTGAAAAAAAAAAAAAAAAAGACTGACAATTTTGAGAAAAAAAACAATTTTGACTTTTTGCTATTAAACATGTCCAATAAAAAAAATGTAAAGATCAAATTTCGTCAGAAATTTAGGCCAAAATGTATTCTGCGACATGTCTTTGCTATAAAAAAAAATCTCAATACATGTAAATTAATCGGTTTATGTGAAAGTTATAGCATTTACAAATAGCAGTATAGATACTGGAATTTTTTTTTTTTCTTAATAATGGCGGTGATCAGCGAGTTATAGTGGGACTGCGGGACTGCGGGACTGCGGCAGGCATTCTGACACTGGGGGGAACTGACTTGGTGATCCAATACAGTGATCAGTGTTAAAGGATGCCAGACTGACGAAACATGTAGAGGCAGAGTGTTATGTCCAGCCATATCCGGGACCGTTGACGTCATTTCCATTTCTGGCTATTGGAATGCATGCAGGCTCTAATGATAGGAGCTGCAAAAAGCGCAATTCAACTGAGTGTATCAGTGCCAAGGATTGGGCACCAACAAATGTGAGTGCATCCTTGTTGTTTAATTCAATATACATATTTTTAAATAAATTTAGTACACCATGAGAAATTTTCTCTTTTTGATTCATGTTGATCCTAAACTGCAGAATTAAATGGGGAGAATGTTGAGAAGAAATCCACTGAGATTATACATCCTGGTGATACAAAGCGTATTTGACCTTCTTTAAATATAAGGGGTCATGGATTGTTGGTGAGTGCACAATATTGGCACATGGTGGTGGAGCACAATGAGGATTCACACAAAGATTTATAGAGCACTAGAAGAATATACACATCTTTTGGCACAATAATTGGTGTGGGACTTTTATGGATTTGTATATTTTTCATCAAATATTTCTTCTCATACACTTTCATTTGTGTTGGAATTTAAGTATTGGTTTAATATATATAAGTATGTGAAGCGCCAAACTTTTTCCTAACTATATGATTTAAAGGTAATTTTGGACTTTAAGGCTAGGTTCACATCTCCCCGTTCCTGCGGGCCGCATTTTGCGTGGGCACAAGAACCCATTCATTTGAATGGACTTCTGTGCCTCGGGACACGCAGGGAAGAAGTCCCTGCACTTCTACAGAAAGCGCAGGCCACACGGAAACCTCGGTTCTCAGTACGGTTGCGATTTGCAGTGCGGGTGGCATGCCATTAGAATTAATGGCACCCTCCCACAGGTCTGCATTCCTCTGTGCGGGTGGTGCAGCTGCACGGATTTTGGTGCGGATCCACAGCGGCACCACCTGCACAAATGTGAACCAGAGGTAAGGGGCAGCTTACACATTCTAACATAATTTTACATTTATTGGTACAGCACACGGTTGTAATATGTTGATACTTATTTTCTCTTATAAGTGGTTGCACAAATGTATGGGGTTAGTGATCGCATATTAATATATACTAATATACTATTAATTTTGATTAAAACATTTAGGCGCTCAGTTTTTTACACCATTGGACGTCAGTGTGTACAACAGGCTTTATTCAAAATGTTTCCTCCAATAGGACGTCTACATTCATAAATGCATCGAATAGGCAGCGTTGTCACCTTGGTAAAGGAAGTGTAAAAGTAAAAGATCTTCTGGCAAAATAAGTAATAAAAATGTTATGGGGGAAAAAATGCTTTGTTAATACTAGCAAAACATTGCATTATATACTGCAGGTCATTTTGCCTATAGTTCCACTTTAATTATGGCCTGTTTGGGTTGTGGGGATGGGATTGCCAAAGCAGGTGCTGTTCTTTGCATCACTGACACCAGAGAAGGAAGAGGACCCCACGTGTCACATAACCATCCAAACCACAGCTGGAATTATGGGTACTAATTTTTATTTTTTTTTAGTCTGAAAGGTGTGCTTTTCTATTAGAAAACGTGTTTATATAGTTGTGTCCTAAATAGGTTTTTGAATAGTTGTGATATTCGCCTGTATGACACATCAAAAAGACTGAAAGTGAAGGATTTTTCCTTGTTTTATGTTCTGACTGAGTAAACAGAAGCCTCCCAGTCTGGGACATAGACAGCAGTAAGGGCTAGTTTAGACTTGTAGGAGACATTTAAATTATGTGTTTGAGCTGCATTTTTAGCAACCCCCCCTTAAGCCAGATAGGGGTGCTCACATGTAATGGCCAGAATGCCTTGATTTGTGCTGTGACAAAAACTATTGCTCCTGTCACATTTGTTCAGCAGTACCACCACAGAAGTCAACCCATTTAAGTGAATAGGGTAGCACTGCAAATGCCTTGTAACTATGTGCAGTTGTGGCGCTTTGGTGTGGCATTTGTAGAACAGGCAGTGGGTAGGCACTATATTGCCTCCTCTCCACCTGTCAATCTCTTCTGCACATCTTGCAGCCAGGGGCATATTTACCACAAGGCAAACAAGGCACTTGCCTAGGGCAGCATTTTTCGGGGGGGGGAAGCACTTCCCCTCAGAAGAAGGGTTGAAAGAAGGGACACGCACGCCATGGGAACCAGGTGGGATCCAAGAGAGGCTGCGGGCTGCTTGATGGTGCATGTAGAGCCTGACTTTCGTTCCCAGGGATGTCCGGAGCTTTGAAGATGAGTGTCTCTCTATCACCAGGAGGGGGGTAGTGGAAGGCTCTCCCGAGTGGGGGGGGGCAGGGGTGTTGTTGGTCAATGTCAGGCTCTCTCCGTGGGAGGAGAAGGGGGGGGGGTTTGGTCGGTGTCCATGGGTGCAGACAATTTTTGTGTTGCCTATAGCAGCACAAAATCTAAATACACCACTGCTTGCAGCACATCTAAAACACAGCCCAACAATCTCACCTTACAGCCCTGGAACCTGCACCTTTCAAAACAAGTTAGCAATGGCAGTTGCCATATTCCTGCTTTCACTGACTTTTTTTTTTTTCAAGCTTGGGCTATGAGACTACAGACCAGTAGAACCTTTTACCACACTGTATAATTCTTAGCCTAATGAACTTCCAGCAGAAAATATTAACAAATGCCTTGTAAAACCTCCAACTATCGTGCAGCCACATATCTTAGTATACCTCGCTGGGCAGCCACTGTAGAGCCGCAGGTTGCAGAAGCCTGTTGTAAGGTGTCGGGGATATTGCACAGGGGAGATTTGTTGCAGGACATATAAGACTAGATTAGTGTGTGATGTTATGGAGCCCCAGCTGTAATAATGAGCAATGAAGCACTAAGCGATCCAGTGGGAGGTGTTTCCTATAATCTATGTCATTTGCTGCATGTAAGTGCTGTGACCTTGGTCTGGTGCTATAACATTTTATAGTCATATAAACTCAAATGACTTACAGGCTAGTCAGGCCTCTAGCATAAAATGTCAGGATTGGGGCGTCCTTAAACTTTACAATCAGCATTCTTAATTAAATGTAGGGGGAATTTTCTCATTATAGAATTATTTTTATTTCACAGAAGAAATGCATCCTGCTTAGAATATTTTGTCCAAGCCTGCACTGGATTCAGGCTATCATTCCGGGATAATGATTATTTTAGAAGTCATACATCTAAAGCTGGCCACACACACACAAATCCATTAGATCTAATTTATTGTTTGTACTTGGAAGTATTTTATTGCAGCTTCCAGAACACTTGATTCTTTTACTCTAAATTCAATCAAAATTATAATTTTCTTTTCAATTTAAATTACAGTAATTTTTATTTTCAATAATTTTTATTAGAATAATTTGAACATGGTTACAGAGAGCCAAGTATTGGTCACATTGACCATTAATAAGTTTGTATAGAATGAGAATGTTGATAAAGTACTTCGTATTCATCTTAATTATAACAATTTCACGCTGATGAAAGCTGTTTTAGCCCTGGTTCACACGGCTGCGATTTCAGGTGCCATTTGGGAATTGAAATCATACCTGAAATCGGATCTAATGAAAGTAGTTCTTGTATTACTTTTTCTGTAGTTTGTTGCGATTTCACATACATAGACTGCAATAGAAATTGCACTGCAAAACGCAAATGTGTCTAAATAAGTGCGATTTGTGATCATTTTTATTAACCCTTTCCTAGTTTTTTTCTTGCTGTCTCTGCTTGTTCAAGCCTGACCCTCAATGTTCCTCTCTGTGACTAGTACAGCCCCACCCCACATTCCCTCTGATGTCCCCTCTGACAAGTAGCAGGACATGGAAATTGCAAGAAATCACCAGAAAACGCAATGGAAAACACAAGAAATCATTGGGAAATCTTCACAAGTTGTAAACAAATCTTCAGAAAACATGGTGAAATTGCTAACAAAACTCACGATTTTAAATCTCATCCAGTGTGAGCCAAGCCTTAGAAAGCAATATCTTGTGAGTATCTATGGGTATACTTGTTAGTTTCTCATTAACCTCCTCGGCGGTATGATTATTTCCGATTTTTTGTGCTGAAAGCGGTGGTACCATTTTTTTTGCATGGAAATATGTAGTTTTTTAGTGTAGGCTGTAATTTTTAGGAATAACTCACTGAAATCTGTACGAACAAGAGTCTAGTAAACATCCTGGGTAGGATAAAATTTGAAACACGAAATCATAAACTATAATTTAATAAATAATCATAAAAAATAATAATATAACAATAATAAATTTAATTCAATAATATATTCAAACCAAAAACACTGAAATTTGAAATACAGAGGCAAATTTGCACATCGCTGAGCAAAGTCGCAAAATCGTTTTCAGTGTCTGATGACGAATTTCCCCACGAATCATTATCACTCAATTCTGCAAGTAGTTCTGATTTACTATCGCTGTTCCCTAGCTGGTCTAAAACCACTTTTGATGTAAAGGGACGCTTTTTGGACGCCATGGACTTTTCTAAGTTTCCAGGCAGAAAGAACAGTCAAAATGCAGGCAGGGCACAGGACAAAGCACTAGGGACAAAATGTATGTGAAATGCATTGAAACAGCAATGTTTTACTATGTAATAGTCATTTAAAAAAAAATAAAAATTTTTAAAAATTTCAAATTTGCTGCCGGTTCCGGCGCCCGTACGTCCCGACGTCACAGGGACCGGAACACGGACGCCGGATGCCGGCATCGGCCGGAGGAGATGGCCGGGGATGCTGCATGGGGACACATCGTGGGAGCGAAGGACAAGGTAAGTGCTGCAGGGACTCCCTGAGCAACGCCGCATGGTAAGCCCGAGTGTAGCTCGGGGTTACTGCTTTTGATACTGAAACTCTACTCCGAGCTACACTCGGGAATACCGCCAGGGAGGTTAACAAAGAATATTCATATGCATTCTTTAACTTTAAGTATACAAATTGTTTTTTCCATGCTTTAGCGATAGTTCATTTGGCTGCTAATAGCACGTATGTTATTAGCTTGAATTAAGATTTGTTGAGAGTGGGAGGTTTTAGATGAAAAAGCGCAAACCAATCATTTTTAGGAATATGATAGTTGATAGGGTGTGTAAAGGTTTGAAGCGGAACTAAACCCAAACTTTTAAGGGTTTCAAAAAACAGTTACATTCCTAGCATGCAGGGACTGCTAAAACCGGCCATAGATGAGTCAAAAACCAAACAAAAATCTTGTAGATCATAAAATTGTTAGGGTTTTTTTTTTGCCAGCTGTGATGCACAATTTTCGTGTCATAATCGAAAATGCCTGATCTGACATGCTGGGGTTTCTGTTGTTTTTTTTTTAGAAAAACAAAACAAATGATGGCATAATCGTATGAGCTATTTTCACTTTGATCAACAGAATGTTCAATTTTTGACTCATCTATGATCGGCTTAACTGTCACATTTGCTTGTGCTTTCAAAAAACTGCCAAACCATCAAATAGCTGGTGTCATAACCGATCACATGTGCAGCACCATGGCAGTTGCAGATCAAACAGGCTGAGACAGCAGCTTTCTTGGCTGAAAAGGATAGAGGATTTTAGTTCCGCTTTTAATATTTTGAACCAAAATCTGCCTAACATGGGGCAGTTCCACCAGATGCTATGCTCATCGCCAACAGCATTGCAGCCTCTAAAACATGAATAGAAATGGGTAGGATGAAGGTTTGCCAGTCTGTAAGAATTCTGAATACCATGTCAGAAACAAACACAATGAACAAATTTGTTGCCGATCCCCTATAGTCTTGCTACTTTTGAGGTTGGAAACATAAGAGTGGGATATTGGTTTAATTCAAAGATTGAATTGCATGTATATTACAGTGATCAATTTAGAAGTCAGCAGTTTATGAAAACATATATGTTCAAAAATCATTAGTTAAGAGGTGAGGTCTTTAGACATTAGAGTAGGCCAATGTTTAATTTGCATATATTGAAAAATGTCTGTGTGAGGGGCCCAACTATATATGGAGTTAAAATTTATGAACAAGTACTGTATATATATTGAAATTTGTGAGTCCCGCCATTTAAATTGTCCATGTGATTCTAAGCCTTGAATAAATTAGAGATTATCTAAAAGTAGGAGTAATTTTTAACAACTCTTTGTTGACTTTTCTGCTTCCTGGCAAAATAGGTTCTGCAACCAGTTTAAATACTTCTGCTAAAATAATCTATATGCAAAAGGCAACACAAATGCTATACATTGATATGCAGTCTTTTGTATTTAAGTAATAAGTGGTTCCCCCTTCTGTAATTGGCACACTACATGGTGCACTTACACTGCATGGCCAAAAGAATTTAGACACACCTCCAAATTATTTCAGGATTTTTCAGTGAGAGGTATTGCTTATTGGCAATAGTTTGAAGAAGGCTTTTCTCTGTTCCAGCATGGCTGTGTTCCTGCATTCAAAGTCAGCTCCATGAAGACATGGTTTGACAAGTTTGGTCTAGGAACAGAGCCCTGACCTCAACCCCGCTGAACACCTTTGGTATGAATTTAAATGCAAAGCCAGGTCTTCTTGCCCAGCATCAGTACCAACCTAACAAATGCTCTGATGGCTGAATATACAAAATTTCTCTGTAAAATATTGTGGAAAGTCTTCCCAGAAGAGTAAAGTCTGTTGTAGTCGCAAAGGAGAGGGAGGCTTTGGAATTGGATATCCAACAAGCTGATAAAAGTGTGATGGTCAATTGTCTACAAATGTTTGGCCATGTAGAGAAGCAAGATGGCACACCAGAGATATAAGATAGTATCCTCAGTATAGGAGGGTTAGACCAAATAGGACCTCTACTGGCCAATATAATATGTCCTTCAACACTAGTTATTCTACCCTCTACCTTTTTATATATCTTAGCATTTCCAGTGTCAATGTCTCCCCAGAGATTACTGAGCTTTTCTCCTCCCATTATTTAAAGTAAATGTAAACCCTCACCTTGTAAATGAACTCACACAGTTTAACCAGTTGCCAACCGCTCTATAGTTGAATGGCGGCTACAGCTCAGTCGGCTACTTCTGGGAGGGCATCTATTGATGTCCTCCCAGAACCCAGCCTCCTGCGCACCCAGTAGCGTGCATCAGGTGAGCTCTGTAAACACTGTGTCCTTTGGACACAGCTGAACACACAGAGCGAGGTAAAGGGCCAATCAGAGTGGTCTTTTACCATGTGATCAGCTGTATCCAATCACAGCTGATCACAGTGTAAACAGACTTGCTGGTTATCTGCAGTCTTTTTCTCACATGCTATGACAGTGCAAGGAAAGGAGAGCAGGTAACCAACAATACTCAGAGGCACATTTACAATGATAACCAGAGCACTGATCATCACTGCCCTGATTATCAGTTCAGCCCCATCAGTGCCAATCAGTGCTGCCTAGCAGTGGCCATCAGTGCCGCCTAACAGTGCCCATCAGTGCCACCTAGCAATGCCCATCAGTGCCGCCTAGCAATGCCCATCAGTGCAATACATTGGTGCCCATTAGTGCAGATCAGTGCCGTCTGTCAGTGCCCATCAGTGCAGCCTTATCAGTGCCCATCAGTGAAGCAGAAAAATTACCTATTTGTAAAATTTTCTAACAACAGAAATGAAGAAAATAGTTTTTTCCTCAAATTTTCAGTCTTTTTTTTGTGTTTATTTAGCAAAAATTAAAACCCCAGTGGTGATTAGATACAACCAAAGAAAAGCTCTATCTTTCCTAAAAAGTGTTTTTTTTTTAAAAATTCACATGGATACAGTGTTGCATGATCGCATTCTTTCAAATTTCAATGTCTGACAGCACTGAAAGCTGAAAATTGGCAGGAGCTGGAAGAAGAGAAATAGCAGCACACTCAACTTCCCAGTGAATGGCTGTGCAGGGAGAAGCTTATGAACAGAAGTCTGAAAATCGGAGGAGACTGGTCATGCTTTGCTCTCATGCCCAGTGCAGTCAGATTTTAAAAGGAATGAAGATTGGACTGGCAGAAACCCCAGAGATTTCACACAAAGGAGCAGGAAACTTTTTCATTCACACACCTGACACAGCAGGCAATATCAGGAATATGAAATGTTGGGTTTACATATTCTTTAAGTCCCATTTCTGCAGGCTACTGAGAACTAAACATAGTGGATGAACTGAACAAATCAAGTGTAGGAACCTCTAGGAGACACAAGAAGCCAGTGGGCCCCATATCCACCAAAAAATTAAATAATAGATTTGGGTAGACTATTTCCCAAATAGATCACTGATATCAGAAAGAAATGTTGCTACATTTTCCTTTAAAACTCTGTCTGTGGTTTTTCTAAAACTCCAATCCATGTTTATATATACTGAACATATTGCTTATAAAAGTTTAATGAATATCAAGGCAGCAAGGTTTGGCTTATGAATTCTTTTATTCTTGCTGCAATTACTCGTTTAAATTACTATGTGAATGCATAAAACAAATTCATGAAAACTGCACCTGGCAAAATATAAAAGATTTCCAATTTAATCCTATAGTATATATATTGTTAGAAACTTGTTAGGCTGAATTATGATGCTTTTATAAGACCATGAGGACCAAAGACCCAACACATAAACATATGGGAGCATGGTCTTGCATCAACAAGTGCACATGTTTAGCTATTTGACTTTCCTGCTGTTCATTAATCCACCAGGTTGTCGGGATGGTAATGAAAGGGAGCAATGTGCCAGCATGCAGACAAGGAATTCCTGCCAGTAACCTGCATAGGCAAGCACGTCGGTGCATCAACGTCTGCATTACAGGAACAGCACCAAACCCTAATTTAATAAAGAAATGGTGACTGATAATCCCTGGATGATCTTCAGCTGTCCATGGTCCTTGTTCCTGTGTTTCCTGGTTTTCCTGCTTCTTGACTACCCCTTGCTAACTTGACTTGCCCTTGTCTATTTCCTTGACTCTCTCCTGGTTGTGACCTTGGCTTGCTATGTGACCTCCTGTCTGATCAGTCCTCAGTCTGACCTCCCTCATATGACCCCAGCTTCTCTCCAGACCCTGCTTCTATTATCAGCTGCTTACCTGTGCATGACCCTGGCTTGTCTCTAGACCCTGCCTCTGCTACCAGCTGCCTACCTGTGTATGACCCTGGCCTGGCTCCTGGCCTTGTCTCCTCTTCCAGTCATCTAACCGTGAATAACCTTGGTTGACCATGTCTTCCAACCTACCAGCATCAGGTCCTGCTACTCTGCCTTCCAGACCTATCTTCTGGGTAATACCCTGCACTTTCCCACTACAAGTGCATGGGCTGCCTACCACAACTCCTTCTGTGGGTGATCCTTCTGCTGCATCATTTGCCATCTCTGCAGACCATTATCTACTGTCTTGGACTCCAGCACCCATGCTACCCTGAGCCTCGCACCACTTTTTCCGCATTCAGGTGTGTTTGAACCAGAGCTGCAAAGGTTCTCCAATTCCTCGAGTTTAGAATGTTACAAAATTAGAAGTCTAGGTATCAGGATCCCAGCTCTTAGTACCCACCTTCTTATGCTACTGGTTATAAAATGGGCTTGAAGGTTAGTTAGCACAGATTTGCTATCACTTTTTGCAGATACAGATTCTACCTTTTATGGTCACTTTTCCCTAAATACCTACCACTGGTGGCCACCATCAGCATCATGTACACCCAGATATGCACTCTTCATATGCTGATTTTCATGTGCGTAAGGGGTAAATCATAAGTGTGCACAAATGCAGACATATGCAAATTAGAGTTTAGGAACAGCAGACGTGTGGCCAATCCTGGAATGTCTCCTGTTTTTCTGTTCCTAACCCTTATATTTTTGCTCATGACTGATCCTAGAATAACCCTTTTAACAAAAATAAATAAAAAATATTGCTTCGGG